TCCAGCCTGTTTGGCCTGTTTCGGTGCACCTGTCCCTGGCTGCTCCCTGCCTTCCTGTAACAGGCCCCCTTGAGGAGCAGGGGGCTGGTGCTCATCAGCCCCTGGCCTCATCTGTGCAAGGAGGGCTGGGCATCACCCCTACTCTTTGGGCCCTGCTCGGATGCCCTGGACACACTCCGAGCCAGGCCTCCTGCCCTGCAGGCTGCACAGCACCCCACGCACTCTGCAGGGCCACAGGGACCTGTCGGAGCAGCCTCTTATCTGGGCTGTGCAGGCCCTGTGGGAGGCGTCTGCACACTTCAGGGCCCAGGGCTTGGCACTCGGGTCTGGCAGCCGCCTTGGGAGAACATGACAGGATCGCCCAGCATCCTGGACTGTGGCTTCCCTGCCCCCCAACCCAGCCTCTAGTGCCCTCCAGGCCCGGACAGGCCCACTGCACAGGTAACGCATGCAGGGCTCCTCGCCCTGGGAGCAGAGCCATGTCTCCCCGGTGTGGGGCGCTCAGCTGTACACCTACCCCTCCTGGGTCCCCCACTGTGGCCCTGAGCCCCCGCTGTGGAACTTCCTCCCTCCCTCCCACTTCCTCTCCCTGAGATTGGCTGGGGCTGGCGGGAGGTGGTCACTTGAATCCTGGGGATAGCAGCGGGCAGGCGGTAGTCAGGTAAGCAAGTCACCAAGGCTTTGTTTGGGCCCCTGCTTGGGGAACTGGCACCTGGGGCCATCGGGTCACAGGAGCAGTGCCAGAGTGGGCAGCTGGGAGTGGGGCAGTAACACAAACAGGCAGCCTGTGGGCTGTGGTGCGGGAGTGGGGTCTCCCTGGTGTCCTGAACTCTGCACCCGGTTTCCTCTTCCTGCTCTGGTAGGCAGAGTGTGGCTTGCGGGGCACCTGGGGACTTGGGGCACCAAGTCAGGGCTGACAGGCAGCTGTCCCAAGGTCCCCGGATGGGTGCCTGAGTGAAGTGGCATCTGCCAGTGCTGTAGGGCAGGGCCTGGCCTCAGCCACCTGCTTCCTGTGCCCTCGACCCCTGCAGTGGCCCGGGGTGGGGACAGTGTCCACCCACTGGCCATCTTGTCAGCCCTTTGACTGAGACACAAGCCCTTGCCCTCCAGTGGTCCTGGCTACCATGCACCCTTCTCTCCCTCCCCTGATCTCCTCAGGGTGGGGTCTCTTGGCTTGTGTCTCCCACTTTAGGCCCTTGAGTGCCCACTGGGGTTTGTTGACTGAATCACTGACAGATAGCAATGATCTGCACAGGTCTGTAGCCCGAGCCTCAGTTTCCTCACCTGGAATGGGAGTGGTGGCAGCTCCCACTCCCTCGAGGTAGTGAGTCCCTCGGGTGCTGGCTGTCCACAGGACCCCAGGCCTCCGAGTACCGCATCCCAGGCTGCCACAAGCCTGTGAGGCACCGTGGTGTGTGACACAAACAGGATGGCCGAACCCCGCCCTGCTCCAGTTCTGGAAACTTCCAGAAGGAATGGAAAGAGTCAGAGAATGAAGCAGGGGTGGCTGTTGTCCCTCTGCTAATTCATTCCACAAATATTTGTTGAGCATTCACTGTGCTGAGTGTTGGCCGGGCTGGTGAGAGACTGGCTCCCGAGCTACCTGGAGCTGGGCGGGCCTGCTGGGGCCTGGGACAGTGTTGTGGGGTCTGCACTGAGAGCTGCCGCAGGCTGGCAGTGTGGGCTTTGGCAGGGGAGGGGCACCTGGACTCCCTGAGGCTCCCCTGTCCCCTCCTTTGTCAAGCAGGAGTGCAGGGGACCGGAAGCCAGCTGGGCATTGAAGGCTGATGCTGTTAAACAAGACCATGCACTTGAGGCTCTGTGCTGGGAGTGGACGGCCCCAGGGAGCACCCAACACGGCCTGTCCTTGGCTGGGAATGTCATAGAGCTTCTTTTCCAGGGCTCCCAACAATGGCAACTTCCTGCACACACATTGAACTTGGCCTTTCAAAGCTTATGCTGTGTTCCCCAGGAGGTGGCTTCTTGGCTGGACACAGAGAAGTCTGGAGCAGGGGAAGCATCAGGATTGTTTACAGAGGGGCCAAGGCTGCTAAAAGTCCGCCAAAGGCCTGGTTGGCTAGGGACGGACATTGGAGCTGGGCTCTAGAGGATGAATAAGAGCCTGCTGTTTGGATTTGTGCAGAGGCAGAGGCTTTGGGGGCAGAATGGAGAGAGAGAGAGTATGTGTTTTTGTTTTTGTTTTGCTTTTTTTCGGGGTCTCAGTACGTAGTCCAGGCTGGCCTCAAACTTGTGACTGTCCTCTTGCCTCAGCCTCCTGAGTACTGGGATTGCAGCCGTGTGCCACCGTGCCCAGCTCAGGAGAGCGTATGTGAAGGCCTGGAGCAGGACAGGCTTGCTGTGCAGGGAGCAGGGCTGGAGGGGAGGCCGGCGCCAGGGCCGGGGAGCAGGTGCCCTGAAGGGCGGCAGTGGGGAGCCAGGGTGGGTGTTTGAGGAGGGGTGGAAGTGCCCGGGGGTTTGGGCGCTGTGGGCTGGCCAGACCTGGGTTCCCTTAACCTCTCTGAGAACACAGCGTGATAGTCTGCAGTGGGTGTCTCCGTGTGTTACTTAGAGGGTTGACTTTCTTGGGACTTGGGGTAGTTACCGACCCTCTGGGCCTCAGTTTCCCGACTGTCCCTACAGCCCAGGGTGGAGTGAGGTTGACCCTGGGAGTTTGTGTCCCACACCGGGAGCAGCACCAGCTCAGAGTCCGTGGCCACTGTCTCTGTGCATGGCCTTGCCTGAGCTGGGCTCGAGCCCAGGTCTCCTGTCTCAGTCTGTGGCTGCCACCAGGGCCTTAGAGGAGCCCTGGCTGGCGAGGCCTCCCGAGTGCTGCCATACAGTGGGTGCTGGGTGGTTGGGTGTGGCCTGGGTTGGGTGGCTGGGCACTTGGGGCCCCGGGCCTTGCTTTTAGACCCATCGGTCACACAACTGGGCCCCTCGTGAGGCCACAGCAGAACAGTGTGGAGCCAGCCTGGGAAGGGGGGCAGCAGGGCTGGGCCCTGAGATGAGAATATACTACCTTAAGAGGCCTGCAGCAGATCCCACCAAGGGAGCGGAGGGGCTCCGTGCACCCAGGGAACTTGGCTTTGAGCTTCCTGGCAGCCAAGGTGAAAGGAGAACTTTAGGGTTATGACAAGAAGAGAACACACAGTCATTTGCTGACAGAACAGAAGTCAAGGAGATACACCAGGTGTGAAACTGCTTTCTTGAGAGCCACTGTTTTACATGAACTTTGCTTCTTAGCCTCTCTAATTGAGTTATCCAAAGGGGCCTCCCAGTACTTTCTATTTTGAAATATCTTCCGAGTTAAAGATACAAGATGTTAATATTTGCTCTGTTTGCTTTATTTCTCTTCTTCTTTATCGCATGTATACGAGATGCCATGTGTGTGTACAGGTGTGATCAAAATATACAGTGAGTGTTTATAAAAAAAACCCTTACAGTAAAAGACACATTGCCATGAATCCCCCTCACAATCCTCCTTCTCACTTCAAACACTCATCTCATCATCCTCGGCACTTTCTGAAGCAGCTCTGAAGTCCTCTTTCCTGAGTGTTTTTAGTTGCGCTGACCTGGCTGCTTTGATGTCCTCAGTCAATTCAAAAAGTTTCTCTACCATGGTCATTTTGACTTTGTGGAAGAGGCAGAAGTCACATAGTACCAGATCCGGTGAATAAGCTGGATGAGGACACAGCGGACGCAGACGAGGACCTTGTTTCTGTTGGATGACACTCAGCCGCAGCGCTCACTGTATTATTGATCACACCTCATAAAAACAGTCAGGAAAGAGGATTCCAGAACTGCTTCAGAAAGTGGTGAGAATGCCGGGCGTGGTGGCGCCTGCCTGTAATCCCAGCACTCAGGAGGCAGAGGCAGGAGGATTGCCATGAGTTCAGGCCCAACCTGAACTACACAGGGAGACCCTGTCTCAAAAAACCAAAAAAAAGAAAAGAAAAAAGAAAATGGCAAGAAAGATGGGATGAGTGTATTCAAAGCGAGGGGGAGAATTTTGAGGGGGATTCATGGTAAAGTATCCTTTCCTTTTTAGTACTGGGACCTTGTGCTGTGGGCCGGGGATTTAGCTCAGTGGTGCTGCCACCTGCCTCGCAAGCTCGAGGTCCCGAGTTCGGTCCCCGGTACCAAATAAAAATGTATTACGGTAAAAGATACTTTGCCGGACTAGGGATCTAGCTCAGTGGTTCCGCCGCCTGCCTCGCAAGCCCAAGATCCCGAGTTCGGTCCCGAGTTCGATCTCCAGTACCAAAAGAAAATGTAAACATTCACTGCACACTTTGATCACCGTGTGTGTGTGTGTGTGTGTGTGTGTGTGTGTGTGTTTTAAGCCATTTGCCCTCAAACACCTCAATGTGCGTTTCTCAGTGCAAGGACATCCTTGTGCCTGACCACAGGTGAGTAATTGTCTGTCGGACAGTAACTTGGACACAGTGCTGATATTTAACCCCCAGTCTCATTCGAGTCTCACCGTTATCTCAGTGCTGTCCTTCGTGACCCTTTTCTCTGGCCTGGGATTTAGTCTGAGCCGTGTGGCCTTGTGGTGTGCCATCGGTATTTGTATGTTCCCAGTTTTGAAGGTTGGAAGCGGATGTCCTGTCCCTTTGCCGTCTGGGCCAGGGCCCTTGCTTGCCTCCTCCAGCCCCTGGTGACAGTCATCCTCCCTGACTGAACCTCCCGAGCCTGCCCGTCTTGGTCCCGTGGGCTGAGGGAGAGAGAGGAGCCTGGAGAGGGTATCGACCCAGGGGCCCCAGGGCGCGATGGAACCCCTTGGCCAGTGTGGCCCTCTTAGGGGATTCTCCGTTAGGTTGTTACTCACGTGTCCGTCTGTCCTTGCAGTTGGGGCGTGTGGCGCTCTCGCCGGTCTGGTTCCTCTACAGCCTGTTCATGAAGCTGTTCCAGCGCTCCAGGCCGGCCATCACCCTCGAGAGTCCCGACATCAAGTACCCGCTGCGGCTCATTGACAGGGAGGTGGGTGCCGTGTCCCCTGCTCGGGCCACCAGGAGGTGGTGAAGCGATTCAGACCCACTGTCCCACCAGTGTTCTGAGACAGACCCGCAGGACTTTGGGGTCCACGCCTCCACTCAGCAGATGGGAAATGGTCCCTTTCAAGGAGGACTCCCCACCACTGGGGGGTCACTCGTGGCCTGGCGCTCATCCGCCCTCAGTCTGCAGAGGCCCTGCGTGGTCTCAGCTGTGTGGCCTTCAATGGTCAGGACCTCCAGTCGCCCTCCTCCCTCCCTGCTGGCTCCCGGTCTCCCTGCTTCCCCAGTGACTGCCGCGTCAACCCCGCCGCCCCGCCCTGCTCTATTTTCGGACACCCCTAGCTGCTTCTGCAAGGGTGTGGCAGGGAGAACTGAGTCACGCAGTAGAGAAAGTCATCTTTCCCGGGCCTTGGTTATGTCCCCTCCCTGTGCTTGTGCCAGTCCAATTCTAGCCCTGCTGTGTGGGAGGTTCAGGTCCCAGTGGCCACAGCTTGCAGTTTTCTGTGACTGACAGGATGCGTCTGTCACGTCCTGAGAGTTCACAGAAAGGTGGAAATGAGACAGAAGTGAAAACCCTAAAATAGTTGGCTTCCACTTCCCAGGGGACTTCGCTCACCCCCTCAGCATGTTCAGCACGAGTGGGCACTCAACACATTTTTCCCCTTAAACAAATCATGTTTTCAAACTTTTTTTTTTGTCTTTTCCCTTGTTATTGATGTTGAATTTAGAAGTAGCAAATGATTTATACGAGTTCACTGTAAAGACTCTCTGTCCCTGCGAGGAGCTGGTCCTGCCTGCTCAGTGCCTGGGCCTCTCCAGGCTGTGCTGCTGTGCTGAGTCCGCAGTGGAGAGCCGGCGTGTGACCCTGACCCCAGGCCCTGTCGGTGTTCTGGACTCACTCCCAGGAGCTCCCATCACCTGGCCTGGCCGTAGGCCTAGGAGGCCGAGATGGGCTGGGGCCCCGCCCCTGACCTTCACCTCCACTGCTCGCTACGAGGATGGCTCCTCCTCCAGGTGCTGCCCTGGGCGGGCGCCCTCTTGAGGACAGAAAGTTCTACCTGCGCAGAACTCCGATGGGTGTCCACGGTGCTCTGTCTCCTGGGGGAAGCCTGTTGTCCCCTCCAGGAGACTCCACTCTGTCAGTTTGCAACCTTGCCATGTGTGGGTGTGCGGTGGCCCCATGGCTGCCTGAGTCCTTGTGGCCAGCTGTGGCAAGGACCCCGGAGCCCATGTGACACTGCCTGGCCTCTGCATGAGCCCCACTTCACAAGGCAGGGCTGTCACTGTGGCCCTGCCTGGCTTGTCATCAGCCCTCACCCTTCCCTGGAAGGAAGTGGCTGCCACCTTCCCAGCCTGTGATCAGGCACTGGTGCCACCCAGCACATGCAGGGTGGGGCCCAGCTTTGAGCTCTTGGCACCCTGGCCTCGTGGGCAGTGGGGGCTGCCTTGTCTCAGCCCTGCCTGGGCCGTGAGACATTCCCCCTGAGTTCACCCTTGCTCCGCCACCTTGTCATATGTCCCTGGGGGCTGCTGTCCCCTCGAGGCCCAGTACCCTGTACCCTCCTCCAGGTCGTCAGCCATGACACCCGGCGCTTCCGCTTTGCCCTGCCATCCCCACAGCACATCCTGGGCCTGCCCATCGGTGAGTCCTGAGCGCTCCACAGGGACAGTGGGGAGTCCAGGGAGGGTGACAGTGGCCTGGCCTTGGAGGGCAGGGGGAAGGGCCCCAGCAGGGTAGAGGCAAGAGGCAGGCAGGCTGTTGGGACATGGTAGGACCCCAGGGCAGAACACAGGGCTCTGGGGTGATCCAGCCCAGTTGTCATCTGCAGGGATCGTCCCTGACCCACAGTGAACTCTCCTGTCCCTCAGGCCAGCACATCTACCTCTCGGCTCGAATTGATGGGAACCTGGTCATCCGGCCCTACACGCCCGTTTCCAGTGACGATGACAAGGGTTTTGTGGACCTGGTCATCAAGGTGAGCTCCCTGGTTCGGCTGAGGCTCAGGGAGGAGTGGCCATGACCGAGCTGAGGCCTCCTAGAGGCCCAGTGCCCGTTGGCCTGAGGTCTCCAAAGGCCAGTGGCCCTTGCAGCAGGTTTCTGAGTGAATCACAAATTGGAGCTGCCCAGTGGGCCGAGAGAGGGGTCCTGGCAGAGAGAGCCGTAGCGCTCAGGCTCGGCAGCTGCAGGTGGGACTGTGCTGTGCACGGAGTGGCTGAGCCCCTTCCCTCTGTGACTTTGGAGGAGCCCAGGGACCTGTTTCCCTAGCGAGTGATTGTGGCAGGGCCCCTCTGACCCATGGGTGCAACAGGAGCCTGTGTGGAACCTGTGGCTGTTGGGCCCGGGGTAGGTCAGGGACACATGTGATGAGGGAGGTGTAGCCGTCAGGAGTGGCAGACAAGAGACACAGCATGCCCCGCAGGGACCCCAAGAAACACCATGCCACTGGGGTGTGGTGGCATACAGCTGTAATCCCAGTACTGCCTCGGGGAGGCTGAGGCAGGAGGGTTGCAAATTTGAGCGTAGACTGAGCAGCTTAATGACTTAGCAAGACACTGTCTCATAATAAAAAATAAAAAAGGGGTTAGGGATGTAGCTTGGTGCAAAGGCTCTAAGTTCATACCCAGTCCTACCAAAAACAAAAATACAAAAAGTCATGAAGAGTAGACCGGGTAGGAGACATAATGAGAAGCACACGGGACCCAGTTTTACAGAAATTAGAAGTTGAGCTCTACCTCGAGGACCCCTGTTCCAGCAGTGTACCCAGCCAGTGAGAACCTGCCCAGCTGCTGCCTGTGGGGTGCTGGGGACAGCAGGGCCCAGGGCCCCATGGGGACCCCTGGAGCCCCTCACTGAGCCCTTCTGTATTAAATTTGAGGTGCAGGCCAGTGCTTTACCCCTGAGCTGCACCCCTGCCCTGGCCCTTCTTGGAGGGAGAGGAGGAGACCTCTGTGCACCACATCTGAGCCCCTGAATCTTGTGGGGTGACCTCGCCCATCGGGCTCTGGGGTCCTGGCCTGGGTTGTTCTGGGACAAGGACATGAAGCTGAGCACCAGGAGGGGCAACGTGCTTGGGTGGGGTAGGGTAGCTGGACTGCTTCTTGTGTGGGTGGCCGAGAGGGGTGCTCTGGCAAAGGAAGGGACCTTCCCGTGCAAAGGCCCTGAGGTCCAAGGGAGGCTCAGGGACTGGAGCAGCAGAAGGGCAGGGGGTTCGGGCCCAGCTGGGAGACGGGAGAGGCCAGTGGCCCCTGGAGGCCTCAGAGGCTGTGTCCAGGGCAGAGGAGAGGAGGGGTGGGCATTGCTCTGTTGGGACCTCTGGTCACACGCAGTGAAGGATGGGCCAGTGTGGAGGAGGAGCTCTTGGGTGACCAGACCCCTCTTGGCTCGCAGCTGTTGGCCCTGGAAAAAGGTCAGATTCCTGGCCTGGCGCCCAGGGGAGCAGCAGGGTGCTCTGCCTGCCTTTCCCCTGCCACAGAATCCCTGCACGATGGCCGCAGGAACCCCGCTCTTCTCTCCCAGCCCGCCTTTCCCGTCTCTGCCACTGTTTCCAGCCCCGTCCATCCCCGTCCCTGGCTCTGCACAGGCAGGTCCCACCTTTGGGCCTCCCTTTCCTCAAGGCAGTGTGGTCTAGGGCTGCAGGGAGGGAAGCTGTCCTGAGAGCCACATGCCTACCTGACCCCAGGGCCTTTGCTGGGGTGGGCAGGGTCATTGGAAGGTGACTCGGAGCCCTGAAGCCACCAGCCTGGTGCACCTAGTGGACGTCCTGCCCACCCATTGCGTTCTGTGGGGACAGACCCAGGGCACAGGACCAGGGTGGGGAACTTGATGGGTGGTGGACAGGGTTCCCCAAAGAGGCCCTTGCTCCCTACAGGGGTGAGGCCTGGCCATGGGGCCGGTTACTGAGGGGCACATATGTATCTTGCAGGTCTACTTCAAGGACACCCATCCCAAGTTTCCTGCTGGGGGGAAGATGTCCCAGTACCTGGAAAGCATGCAGATTGGAGACACCATTGAGTTCCGGGGCCCCAATGGGCTGCTGGTGTACCAGGGCAGAGGTGACTCCTGTTGGGAGCTGGCACCGGGCTCGGGCCCTGGGTCTGCTGTCTGTGGGTGACCAGCTGGGCAAGCTGTGCCCTCCCCTGAGCCCCAGTCCCCTCTCCTAGGGAAGTTCGGCATCCGGCCCGACAAGAAGTCCAGCCCTGTGACCAAGACAGCCAAGTCGGTGGGCATGATCGCAGGAGGGACAGGTAGTGGGCGCCGCGTGAGGTCAGGGCAGGGCCGGGCCAGGGTCCCCGTGCCCAACAGGTGCTCACCCGGTGCCCACACGGGGCGCTGTTTTGCAGGCATCACACCCATGCTGCAGGTGATTCGTGCCATCATGAAGGACCCGGATGACCACACCGTGTGCCACCTGCTCTTTGCCAACCAGGTCAGTGGATGCTGCTCTGAATGTGCCCTGTGGCTGTGGTTAAAGGAGACTTGAGGATCCGCTGGGCCGTGTTCAGGGGCCCGCACGGCTCTGTGGAGGTCTAGGGGTAATGGAGTGGGGGCTCTGGGCAGCACAGGGCCGATGTGACCCAGGGAGCGGGCTGTGGAGCGAGGCCCTGGGGCGCCTCACCCCAAGGTCCCAAACCTCAGCGCTCCTTTAGCCATGAGCAGACCTTGGGTAGAGTAGGGGTGATCCCGGCCAGAGATGGTGGGGCCTGGCTCACAGACAAGGGGTCTCAGGTGACGCTGATGCTGGCTCCCTGAGCTGCAAGGTGTTTGGAGCCGGGTCTCCACCCGAGCCCGCTGCCTGCCCACCCTGGCCTGCTGTGTGACCTGGGACGATTTGCTGTTCCTCTCTGGGCTCTTCTTCCTCGTCTGTAGAATTAGCTGATGAGCCGTGGTCGCTGCCAGGGTCTGTCTGGATTCAGTGTTTGTGACAGTGTGGGTTTGATAATGATGTCCTTGTTGGCGGACATGGTGATGAGACCCCTGGCCAGGCCCTGGCCTCTGTGCGTCTCAGATGTGGCTCAGGTCATCTTTCCCCAGGGTCCTCTGGCCCATGCTGTCATCTGTGAGCCCATTGAGCCCAATTGGGAGGGGCCTGAGCCCTGGTCCCTGCACAGCTGCGGGGCTCCCCTGGGACCAGCTGCAGGGGACAAGTAGGAGGTCAAGGGAGGGCACCACCGTGCTCGGCAGTGTGGGGCGGGCCCTGGTGGCCTTCAGACCCTTTGTCCCTCTGCAGGTGGCGTGGCCCTCTGTGTCACACTGGACCGGGGTTCAGAGAGGCCTGGTCTACACATCTCCCAGGAAGCCTAGAAGCAGGACTCGAACCTGGCACATTGTAATTTGACATGGTGCTGGGGATCGAGCCCAGCCTCACACATGCTAGACACATGTTTGACCACTGAGCTACACTCCCTTTTTTTAAATGGTACTGGGGATTGCATCCAGGGCCTTTGCATTGAGTCCCCTTTTTAAATTTTGAGACAGGGTCTGGCTAAATTGGCCAGATTGGGCTGGAACTTGTGATCCTCCTGCCTCAGCCTCCAGAGTGTTGGGATCGCAGGTGTGCACTACCATAGCTGGCAGTGTTGATAGGCTTCCCGGGTGAGGAGTCTGCAGGGCTGTGCCCACTGCCTTCAGGAAGCTCCACTGTGTGGGCCACAGTGGGCACGAGGACCCGTGTTCCTACCCCACCTAAGGCCATGGCCTTGTCCCCCTGCAGACTGAGAAGGACATCCTGCTGCGGCCAGAGCTGGAGGAGCTGAGGAACGCACATTCCACTCGCTTCAAGCTGTGGTACACACTGGACAGGGCCCCCGAGGGTGAGTGGGGAGCTGGCGGGAGGCACCCAGAGGGACCCTCTGAACATATGCGAGGGGGAGCTGAGGATCGGCTCAGAGAGGGCAGGCAGGTGACAGGGCAGCAGCCTGGGTCCTGGCTTCCAGGCTTGTCCTGCCCAGAGCTTGACAGCCCTCTTCCCTGCCATCATCAGCCCTGGGGGTGCAGTGTTGGGGCAGAGCCAGGGCCACAGCCCCCAGAACTTGAAATGAGGTCGCCTTCGGGGAGGGAACCAAACTGCCCTTCAATTCCTGTTAGATCAGGTGTGGGTAGAGGAATATCAGAATATTCCTGTGGTCTCATGGATGATCTCAATGCTGTTTGGCCCCAAGATCGGGACTGCAGGGCCTGGTAGGGACAGCGGTAAAGGAGCCTTTGCCCCATGTGGAGGGGACAGCAGGATGGGGTAGGGATGTAGCCCCGCCCCAACAGAAAGGAGGAAAGAGCTGGGCTCTCCCTTCTGACCAGGGTTCGCGGAGCGCATCTACTTCCGGGTTGGAGTCCGCTTCCCGGTGGGAGGGGCTACTGCCCCCTGGTGGTGGCGCGCGGTACTTTGGGTCACCTCTTAGGGACAGGGAC